TAAAATGACTCGTAGAAAACGCTCTTGATCAATCGTTTCAATCGTTATCGAGAAACGCAGCCCTGGCTGTTGTATAGGCTATATTTCTTGCAAATATATGAAGCACATCATCTCATGTACCGCTCTGCAAATTAGTCACAATAACGTTTCTTCAAACTGTCTGGCTGTTGTATAGGCTATATTTCTTGCAAATATACATCTCATATAAAGCACAACACTGCTCTTCTCGGTTCGGCGGCACCGGCGCCCTTAGATCCCTTAGGCTACACTGTGATAACAGAGGAAAGAAATGTCTGCTTTATTTTCTATACTTCCACAATAACAACAAAACGTTACAAATTACTTTTGTAAAATAACAGGGTGCGCTTTCTGGCTGTAAACTACAGTCTTTCCCATCTGAGCTAATCTGTATTCCCATAAGAAGAACGTGATGCGATGCGTGGCTTGATTCAGCTAAAGATATCATTTAATAATATATAATCACTAATACATAATTAATATATAATCAGACTAAAGTATCAAAGCTGCCCACGCATGTGAAACAAATATTGAAGCATAAGCTCATTTGTTTACCCACGAACAAAAATAGGCCTACGAAAAATCTAGCTTAATTTTCGTTTGCTCGTTTTCAAACAGAACGAAATAATAATTATAATAATTATTATTCTTATTATTATTCTTCTTAGGCTATTATTCGTATTCTTATTCTTATTATTTGACAGCGCGGACAGTCGCTTAGCTCGCTCACATAATGTACCATATAGCCTATCTATAATAACGGGAAAACATATCGTTTTTATGACATAATATGACGTTATTACGAGAAAAAATATCTCGTTTTAACGAGAAAAGATGTCGTTAAAACGACATAACATCTCGTTATTACGACATAACTGCGTGGGAAAAAAAATATGTGTGTGGCAGCGTATAATAGCCTAATAATAATAATAATAGCCTAATAAAAAAAAAAATAATAATAATAATTATTATTATTAGTATTATTATTTCGTTCTGTTTGAAAACGAGCAAACGAAAATTAAGCTAGATTTTTCGTAGGCCTATTTTTGTTCGTGGGTAAACAAATGAGCTTATGCTTTATAACGAGAAAACATCTCGTTATTACGAGAAAAGATGTCGTTTTAACGAGAAAACGTGGTTATTACGAGAAAAGATGTCGTTTTAACGAGAAAGCATCTCGTTATTACGAGAAAATATGTCGTTTTAACTAGTCTGATTATATATTAATTATGTATTAGTGAAAAAAAGATGTCGTTTTAACGAGAAAACATCTCGTTATTACGAGAAAAGATGTCGTTTTAACTAGAAAACATGTCGTTATTATGAGAAAAGATGTCGTTTTAACGAGAAAACATGTCGTTATTACAAGAAAAGATGTCGTTTTAATGAGAAAACATCTCGTTATTACGAGAAAAGATGTCGTTAAAACGACATAACATCTCGTTATTACGACATAATGTCGTTATTATGAGAAAAGATGTCGTTTTAACGAGAAAACATGTCGTTATTACAAGAAAAGATGTCGTTTTAATGAGAAAACATCTCGTTATTACGAGAAAAGATGTCGTTTTAACTAGAAAACATGTCGTTATTATGAGAAAAGATGTCGTTTTAACGAGAAAACATGTCGTTATTACAAGAAAAGATGTCGTTTTAATGAGAAAACATCTCGTTATTACGAGAAAAGATGTCGTTTTAACGAGAAAAGATGTCGTTAAAACGACATAACATCTCGTTATTACGACATAATTGAGTGGAAAAAATAATATGTGTGTGGCAGCAATGCGTCACCGTAGTAGACAGATTGGAGATTAATCCTAATAAACATGCCGCTACAATTAAAACCATTACATTAAAATACGTTTAAAAAAGTGTATTTCAATCATTTCAGCAGTGTGCAGATCCTCGTTTATGTCAGACTGGCGACAGCAGCGTGGACAGTCGCTTAGCTTGCTCACATAATGTACCATATAGCCTATCTATAATAACGGGAAAACATATCGTTTTTATGACATAATATGTCGTTATTACGAGAAAAAATATGTCGTTTTAAGAGAAAACATCTCGTTATTACGAGAAAAGATGTCGTTTTAACGAGAAAAGATGTCGTTAAAACGACATATCTCGTTATTACGACATAACTGAGTGGAAAAAATTATATGTGTGTGGCAGCAATGCGTCACCGTACATCTCAAACAAGCCTATAACATAATAAATACCTAGACGCCTCATTGGCCGCTCGAACGCACGTCAACGCCGCCGCCATATTGGTGAAGGCAACTCTCATATCGGGACAGGCGAAAACATACCTGGCTCGTCGGCAGCTTGGGCATCTACAAATCGTTGCACAATAATAAAAACAGACCTCGGGGTATTATCTTTCACAGGTAAGACTGAACAGTTGTTTCTGTAGGTTTTTTGGTCATTTTTAGCTTTATGTTGACAGCTTAATTAGCCACCAGTGTCAGACTATTAATAGCTAGCGATATCGCTAGTAAGCTGTGAAAGCTGAGACTTTATATGAAATCAAAGTTTAAATGAATTCTTAAGTTTTAAACTTATATTGTAGTTTATATCATAAAGTAAATTGTGTTATGAGCACAATATGTACAGTGAGCACTTTGACAAGACAATGCCAGACTGTCAGGATTAGGGATGGAGCTAAATCATCTCTCTTTAATTTCACTAACGTTACTTATTTACAAAGAGTAAGTTTATCATTACTTGATTGTAAGGATTTCATAGCTGATCATAAATCTGTGGACTTATTATATATATATATATATATTTATATATATTTAATTGTGTTTTGAAATTGTGAAACGTATTTTATGAATATATATACTTATTTTCTGCATGTGAATTGGTTTTTGTGAATATATATATATATTTTTGTGCAATTTTGTAAGAGGCTTTTCAATAATTATGGCCTATACGGCCCCTCATACTAAACGTGGAATGTATTCTGATTGAATCTCATCTCCCTCTCATTATTTCCCAGGTGAAGGTTTTGCCTTCAAAAGGAAGGAGAAAATAAAACATTGCTGATTTAGTTACTGCTTTGACATGACTACTGAAACTAAGGTCTGTCTCCAGAATCACACCAAGATTCCTGACTTGAATACAACAAACTTCTTCGAAAGGAGAGGAAGAAAATGCAACCATCAAAAATCCAGTTAGAGGATGAATATCCCGAGCATCTGAGACATCTGTACCTAGCTGAAATAGAACGACTAGATGAAGAAGAACAAGAAAAAAAAGAAGAATAGATGTAAAGGTAGAGTAGTAGATGAAGAGAGAGGAAGATGATGAACTAAAAACGGTGTTTGAATCTCCTTTCACTGAAAAACACATCTCAAACACAACGATTGGCAAGCTACTGCCTCTGATTCAGCTAATGAACCAGCAGAGTCTGACAGGTACAGTAAAAGGTAGTATATGCACACACATACAAAGCCACATTCCTGATTTGTGTCATCAGCTCCCACAAGACTCCATTCATCCAAAGGAAGAAGAAGCAGAAAATGTCATCGTATCAGAAGACAAAGCAAGAATATGAAAGGATAAAGGAGGAACGGGCACGAAAAAGAGAGGTGAGGAAATAGAAACTGGCAAATGTATCAGTTTGATGGAATTGTTCTACAGTTTTCCATTTCCTAATGAATCTCCTTTGTGATGTCATTAAGGAAGACTCGTTATGTCATGTAAACATACACATTTTCATTACCTTCAGTACATTCTTTGGCAAATGATTGATGCATGTTATATTATGCATGTCTGTGTAGGAATTCTTGAAAGACAAAGCTCAGCGAGAGGAAGCTCTGAAGAAATATAAGGAAAAGAAAATTGCAACATATCAGTTGTTGAAAAGAAAAACCAAGAAAGGTCAGCCCAACCTCAATCTGCATATGGAGCTATTGCTGCAAAAGATTCAAGCTCAGTGCAAATAATTCAGTGTCATCCAAAAAATCAGACTGTAAAGTTAAAATGGACCTTCACACAATAAACCAATAAACTGTGCAGTTTGGGTGAGTATTTTTTTTTTTTTTACTTCAAGGATGTGTATACCTTTGCATACCTTTGTGTCTTTTGCTCTTTTATGCTCTACTTAAGTAAATTTAAGCTGACAGTACAGAACGAAATGCTATGACAGTAAGCTTATGGAAAGACACGAAACTTTATAATGTTTATTAAGTGGTAAATCTATTTATATCTTTATATTTAGGTAGATAATATCAGCAGCCTAAAAGTACAGTAGTGCCTCAAAGTACTTCCTTAAACATTTATAGCATCATTTTCTTTTTTTAAATATATTTTTCTCTTTTAAAAGTATTTTTGTGACATGATGAATAAATTATATATTTTGTTTATTAGATGAAAAGCATTGATATCAAATTAGAAATAATACAAATATTAAAATGTGCTGATACTGAATTTTGCAACGCATGTAACCTTTCATAAAAAAAAGATTTAAAATAACAAAAACATAAGGCATTGATGCATTAGTAGCAGTATGAGAAACTCCCAGCAGGTCCAGTAACTGTAATATGATTTCATGAACGGAGGCAGTGGGTGTGGTCATGAGTCATATGGCCCCTCCCTCTTTATTTGACTCCTTTCCCACATCATCATAGTCTGTTTTTAAAAACAAGCAAATTCATACGTTCATTTTTATAAATGCATCACGATTTAGTTTAAATAGGGTTTAAATGAGTGACATAATGATTAAAAGTACACTACCAGTCAAAAGTTTTTGAACAGTAAGATTTTTAATGTTTTTTAAAGAGTTTTCTTATTCTCACCAAGCCTGCATTTATTTGATCCAAAATACAGCAAAAGCAGTAATACTGTGAAATATTTTACTATTTAAAATAACTGCTTTCTATTTGAATATATTATAAAAATGTAATTTGTTCCTATGATTTCAAAGCTGAGTTTTTTGCATTATTATTCCAGTCAGATGATCCTTCAGTAATCATTTTAATATTCTGATTTGCTGCTCAAAAAACATTTATTATTATTATTATTATTATTATTATTATTATGTTGAAAACAGCTGAGTAGAATTTTTTCAGGTTTCTTTGATGAATAGAAAGTTCAGAAGAACAGAATTTATCTGAAATAGAAATCGTTTGTAACATAAATGTCACTTTTGATCAATTTAAAGCATCCTTGTTAAATAAAAGTCATAATTTCTACAATTTCTTTCCTAAAAAACAAAATTATACTGACTCCAAGCTTTTGAATGGTATAATGTATAATGTTACAAAAGCTTTTTATTTAAGATAAATGCTGATTTTTGGATCTTTCTATTCATCAAAGAATCCTGAAAAAAATTTACTTAACTGTTTTAAATATTGATAATAATAATAATAATAAATGTTTCTTGAACAGCAAATCAGCATATTAGAATTAGTGCTGGGAGGTATACCGAATACCGGTGTTTATTTTTGTTATGATAGGAATTTTTAAAATACCACAATACCAGTGTGTCGCTTAAACAATGTTCGGAACGCGACACTGTTTGAAAGGGGTCCCTTTTCACTGTTGCACTGTGGTGAGGGAACAGCTGTATGTGTTACTAAGCGGTAGAATATTCATACTGACAAACCTAGCGACTTTTTGGGATAAACCTTAGCTATGTTTCAGTTGGAAGATTTCGCCAGTGCTGTCCTGCGAACTTGAGGTCTGACTTTCCCGGAGAAGTGTCACCTCTCTCGGCGTCTGTTCTGTGCAGTGAGCAGCAGAGAAGCAGTGCATTCAGTTGGCCGCACCGCAGCCGCCTCGTCAATAAATGAGTACAAAACAGCATTTCCAAGCACCTGTCGCTTACTGATTGTTTGGAATTATACATATAAGCGTAGTTCATCTGTTAATATCACATGCACTCAGACGCAGGCAGTGCGCGCATGAGACAAAAAAGTACTATAGCCAAAACAACCGCATAGCCGCTCTTTAGTGTAGATGCATATTGATTTTATCAGACAATGCCGCGATTATAAATGAGAGTGACTCCTGGTTAACGTAATAAAAGGGGTCATGTTTAGTCACTATTTAGTGTGGTATTTTTTGATAATATTCACTCATCATGACAGTAAAATAGGGCATTCTAAGTCAATATACTGCAGTATTTCCTCTCTCAATCAGTAGAAAATATGGTTAACACCCGGTCATGCATGAAGAAAAAAAAAATAACGTCATGTACCGTGAAACCGGTATAATTTTGAAAAATACCGTGATATAAATGTTTGGTCATACCTCCCAGCACTAATTAGAATGATTTCTGAAGAAACATGTGACACTGAAGACTGGAGTAATGATGCTGAAAATTTAGATTTGATCACAGGAATAAATTACATTTAAAAAAATATTCAAATAGAAAGCAGTTATTTTAAATGGTAAAACATATTTCACAATATTACTGCTTTTGCTGTATTTTGGATCAAATAAATGCAGGCTTGGTGAGCAGAAGGGAATTCTTTAAAAAACAATGAAAATCTTACTGTTTAAAAACCTTTGTCTGGTAGTGTAGAGATTATGTGAAAATGTAACAATACCCTACCCAACAGGCTTCTCTCATCTTCATTGCTGTTCTTCACATCATCATACTCCTCCTGATCTCCCTCTGATACATGTGAAATAAAACCTCACATTGTAATGTAACAGCTTGTGTCATTCATCTCTTTCTCTTCATGACTGTCTGAGACTATTAGATTAAACCTGATAAAGCCATGATGATTTATTAATGTTAGTAATGCATGTCATTATCATGGAAACATAAGAGTGATAATAAATTGCAGTTCTGTGTGACTCACCTGTTAAACCTGGAACGTTCTGTCCAATAATGATGACATCATCATAGTGCTCTGGTTTGTCCACTACACATATATGAAGATATAAACAGAACAAATGTTACATCATCATATCAGTACTAAGTATCACTTTAAAGGTATTATGTTAAATACGCTCAAAAAACAAACACCTTTTTTAATATCAGAGTTCTGTCCACTCATCATGACATCATCATAGCTCATAGTTCTGTCTTCTACAAATTCAACATGAGACATTACACCCATACAATATATATATGATATATATATAGAGAGAGAGAGAGAGAGAGAGATAGAGAGATTTTATATCAGGGGTGTCCAAACCTGTTCCTGAAGGGCCACTGTCCTACAGAGTTTAGCTCCAATCCCAATTAAACACACCTGAACCAAAGTAATCAAGGTCTTTAGGCTTACTGGGTGCTTCTCAAATGGAAGGACACATCCTAGTGAGGATGCATCCTTCCTAGTCCAGTCCTTCTGAGGCTTCAAGACAAGTCTTGAGTCCTTCTCAGCATTAAACGATAGAATGAGTCTACTTAGTGCACATGGCTACGTCATTAATGTTTCCACCCCCACAGTCACATATGACATATTGCATAACATAATGAAACTGAACAAGCTCAGTGTTGATTCATTTTCAGATAATTGATTTTTCGTAAATTGGAACCTGTGCAAAGGATTCTGGACAATTGAAGGATGCGGAGGATACACTTGATGCATCCTTCAAAACAGGTCGAATGAAGGATGGGAAACATAGAGTGCCTACTAAGGATCCTTCAATTTGAGATATCTGCAATGGAGCTTGATGACGTGGCAGCCCAGATATGCAGCCTTATTAGAATGCGTCTTTCTGTTTGAGAAGCACCCACTAGAAACTTATAGTTACGTGTGTTGGAGCTGGCTGAAGCTAACCTCTGCATGTTATTGGCCCTCCAGGAGCAGGATAGGACACCCGTTTTATATATTTTAAATATATAAATTGCAGAATAACAGAGTGACACCTGTCTCACGATCTGGTTTTAGTCCATCAGTGATGACATCATCATAGTATCCCGGAGTGATTTCCTTCACCATCTCTTCTGCATCAACACATGTTGTATATTTTGGCATATTTTTGGAAATAAAATATAAGATATGCTCTTGCAGGTCTTGAGACCTGCCATTGTTGACATAACCATAATAAGCAGTGTTGAACTATTTTTCTAATGAGATAATGTAACGCCAAGCCAGCAGAGGGAGCCCTCGCCTGAGTACTGACCGTGCTCCACTCCCTCCGCTTCCTCTACATCCATTTCCTGTTTGACTCTCATATAAACTGAGACCAGTCCATGTGCTGGTCGTGAAGTATTGCCAGTTCATCTGCCTTACCAAGCGTTATAGTTCCTCTGTTCCTGATTGATTCCTGTGTATGATTCTGCCTGACTTCTTGACTCACGGTATTTGTACTCTGCCCCTTCTGTTCTGACGCCTGATTGGACTGATGTTTGTGTTTGGACTCATTGCCTGCCTTTCCACTATTGTCTCTGCCTCTGCCCCTGTGTATGACGAACGATCTGCCTGCTTCTCTGACTTTGACCCTCTGCCTGATTATCGACATCTGTTTAAAGCCTTGACCTTTAATAAACTTCCGCTCATGGATTCTAACCAAACTCCAGCGTCTCTGTTACAGAATACTTCGCCACCTATGAATCCAGCGGAAGTGTTGAATCTGCAAGCAGCATTCTCATACCAAGCTGAAATGCTCCAGAGATATCAGGAACAACTCACCAAGCTGCAGACCGTCAACGAACACCTGACGCACTATATTCGATCTCTCCCTTCAACCACTCCTATGACTGTAAGCCTCGCTCTTCCTGACAAGTTTGACGGTACCGCTGAGCGATGCAAAGGCTTCATTCGCCAAGTACAAGTTTATCTCGATCATCAAGGAGAGAGATTCGAATCAGAGGGCAAAAGATGCGCTTTTATTATGACACTGTTGATGGGCAGAGTTGTCGACTGGGCTGCAGTCACACTCCCTGTTGTCTTAAGAACGGATACTCTCTCTCTCGACCTCACAGCGCTGATTGACTCTGGAGCCGCCCTGAATCTCATCCACCAAGATATCGTAAACAAATATCAAATCCCTACACAATTATGCACCCCACCTATCCAAGTTTGCTCTGACGCCTGATTGGACTGATGTTTGTGTTTGGACTCATTGCCTGCCTTTCCACTATTGTCTCTGCCTCTGCCCCTATGTATGACGAACGATCTGCCTGCTTCTCTGACTTTGACCCTCTGCCTGATTATCGACATCTGTTTAAAGCCTTGACCCTTAATAAAGTTCCGCTCATGGATTCTAACCAAACTCCAGCGTCTCTGTTACAGATAAACATGTTAGTATTATGAACAGTTGAGTCATAGGTCACATAATTCATTTAGTGGTAGAATTATATTTTATGATTTCATGAGTGTGAATTACATTTTATATATTTCTTTGAGTTTGAACATCAAACTATTTATTTTAGGTATTGATCTGAATATACTTCTGCTCTCTAACCTGAAAGAAGTTCAGCATTTTCATACCCACAATTCAGTTCTTCAGAGATGAGACTCCCTGTTAAAAAAGAGCAGAACAGCCAGAAACATGTTCATCAATACAAACAGACTAAATCCTCATTTCCTTTGGATTATAAAGCACAGTGTTAGTGACAACACAACAAAAATGTAAATTACTTACATTTTAAAAACATTAGAAATGCCATGTTTTTTGTTGGGCCTATTAGCAAACACACAAGTATCCTCACATGAACCTATTCCTCACTGCCATCCAGAAATACACACAGGAAGAGCTCTCTCTCTCTCTCTCTCTTACACACAAACATGCACCTGCAGCTCTGTGGTTTTCTGTCAGGAATTCTGTGGTTTGAAGCAGGAGGTTTAACAGGACTAATAATAGATGAACATCAACTGTCTGACAGAGTCTCTTATTAATGCTATTAAATGAGATTGATGGCTCATGTCTCCCCCCTCTGAGTGAAGTGATTGTGTCTGTGCTGAATCTCCTCATAAATGGCCTCAGTCGTCATCCTGTGTCTCCTCTTAGAGAGAGCTGTGAGTGTAGACAGACAAACCTGCTGTGAGTTCACAACACATGACTGATCACACACTGAATATCCAGTGTGTGATCTTGTTCTATCCAGGCTGGACTATTGCAATGCTCTCTTGGCAGGTCTTCCAGCCACTTCTATCAAACCTCTACAATTAATCCAAAATGCCGCTGCAAGATTAATCTTCAATGAGTCGAAAAGAACGCACGTCATACCTCTGTTCATCAATTTGCACTGGCTATCAGTAGCTGTTCGCATTAAATTGAAGGCATTAATGTTTGCCTACAAAACCACTACTGGCTCTGCACCCCTTTCTTTTTGTTTTGTGTGTGTGTGTGTGTGTGTGTGTATATGTGTGTGTGTGTGTATATATACCGACGTGTACTGCGTTAGGCTAACCGAGACTTGTCATTTGCACTTATATATTGTTGCTCTTTTGTTAGTTTTGATTGCTTCTATTGTCCTCATTTGTAAGTCGCTTTGGATAAAAGTGTCTGCTAAATGTAAATGTAAATGTAAATGAATACACAATATGACAGTATCTAGATCTCTCCTACCTCTCCTCATCACTCTGTTCTGCTGAATCAGTATAAGCAGTGGCACTAAGAGCAGTAAGAGCACAACTCCCAGTACAATCACAAGCACTGGGGGGACGGAGAGAGACGCTGCTGGAGGAGTTTGTGGAAGAGAGACTGATGTTGAGGACACTGGAGGAGAAACTGGAGGAGAAGCTGATGTTGTTGTGGCAGGAGCAGTGGACACTGACAAATCTGGCAAATCTGTAGAAATACATTAAAATTAATGATTGTCTTACATACACAAATATTACTATCTCTAAAATGATAAAGTTAATAAAATCTGTCATTGCTTTGCTGTGACCTTCACAGGTGAGTCCAGCGTGCTCTTTGTGGGAGCAGTCAGTGTGGTTTTTCAGGGAGAGAGGACAGTCCCACAGGTGAATCTCATTCCCTCTGCACTCGACTCTGTTCAGCCACACAACACCTTCACCAGCACTAATTGTTGAATTCCCATCAGCCCTCAGTGCTGCTCCACAACCCAGCTGCCTGCAGACCACCTGAGCATCGCTGATGTCCCACTGATCATCACAGACTGAGCCCCACACAGCGTTATGATACACCTCCAGCCTCCCAGAGCACCGGCCCTCCCCTCCACTCAGTTTGAGAGGAACATGATCTGAAACACACACATCAACCAGCACTGAACAGCTTCAGCAACAACATTTACAACAAAACAGATACTGAAGCTAGAGGTATTTCAAACGGATTATTTTGAGGTAAATACTAAAAATGCAGATATTAATAATTTAACAGAAATATACTAGGAAAATATAAGCTTACATTACCAAACATTCAACAAATTTGTTGTGAATAAACTTACTAGTGCACTGTCTCTGGTAAGGAGATGGTGAGGTAAAACATGTCAGACGACTCTGAGGAGACTCACGAGTTTCCTCCTCTGAAATTAAACATGATAAAATTAAGAAAAGTGCATTAGGACGAAATGTCTGACATCTCTCAGTGAAAACAAATTATCAGTGTGAAAACTGCTAAACATTTTAGCCTCACAAATAATTTTGCTCTTCCCATCAGCTCACTTTAGTTTTCAGAAACATTAGTTTACTTACCACATTAGACATAAAATATATGTACAGAAACATGATTATTGAGGACATATTAAATTATTTAAATATCATCCAACCTGAGCAGGTGATTTTGGCCACTTCTTCCTCACCACAGTTATTCAGTCCCCAGGGTGAAGATGGACACTGCCACAGATTTAAATCATGTGGTCGACATGTTACTTTATCCAGCCAGTTACGAGCTGATTCCACTTTTGATACAGAACCAGACAAAACACCAGATCTTCCACAGTTCAGCTCTTGACAGATCAGACTCGCTGTGTCTCTTTCCATCTGGTTCCAGCACATATTACCCCAGGATCCATTGTAGAAAACCTCCACATTCCCTTCACAGCCCTCAGTTAACCTGATCTCTTTAAACTCTAGACAGAAAACGATGTACATTAAAACAACTGAATTTTAGGTTGTGCTAAAGCTAAAATATAAAAAAATAATGGTTTAATAAAAGGCTAATGCATGCTGCAAGCATTGATTGCATCTATAAACAGATAAGCATAATGTAAAAAAAAATATGTAGCCTATATGTTATTAAAATACGTAATACCTCAGAGAACATTTGTATTAATAATACTATAATATCATTGCAACTGTATGATTGTTTTGTATTTTGTAGTGGACTATTTCTATATTTCTTTGAGGAAGATACATATACATTTAAAATTATAAAGTAATTGTAAAAAAAAAAATGGTGTCCATGTATTTTATTTATTTGGTAAGTAGCTACAGTATGAACTGTTCAGTCTGACAGTCATTATCGCAAAACAAACCCCTTCAGACCCCTTTCGTTCCTGATCACCCTGGAGTTTAATGATTACATAGGATATTTTCTGAAAAACAACAGTATCTCTGATAAACATTTACACACTAGTCTACTGTTTACCTGAGCACACGACTCCTACATCCTCCTTGTGTTGACAGTCATGTTTTCCCCAGCCTGGAGAAGAGCAGCTGCCCAAGCTCCCCCAGAACCCACCAGCCTGATGGACCCACGACCTGATATTCAGAGAGAGAAAAACACATTATTGATCACGAACAACTGACAAATCTGTTCAGATGTTGTTGTCCTCACCAAGGCAAGTGATTGACAGCTGTTGTGTGGAGCTGCAGTTGAGAGTTTGTGGAGAGCTGCAGTTCCCCAGATGAGCTTCACTCCCAGAGCACTGGAAGCCCGTCACACACTCATGACTGTGTTCAGGACTGGATGAAGAGGAGCCGTAGAAGTTCAGCACAGAGCCACAGCCCAGCTGTCTGCAGACCACAGAGGATTCAGTGAGACTCCAGGAGTCCAGCAGAACTCTCCTCCAGACCTGATGGATGAAAACTTCCACCTCCCCCTCACACTGTCTCTCTCCAGACAACCGCACCAGACCATCATGAAGAGCCAGAGAGGAATCTGAGTGAAATATGAGATATTTTACTAAAACATAAAATATAAAATAAGTTTAAGAATATGCTTTATCAATATTACACTTTACATGATAATAAATAAAGTCAGAAATAAATGAAAGGACTCACTAGAGCAGATGACACCAGCATCTCGTCTGTGAGAACATTCAGCTCGACTCCATGAAGAGATGGAACATTCTGAGAGTTTTGTTTCATTCCCGTCACAATCAAACACATCAGCCCAGATTTCACCACTTCCCTCTCCAAACCAGTCTGATCCCACAACAGACACAGCAATCCCACAATTCAGCTGTCTACAGAGGACACTGGCAGCTCTCATATCCCAGCATGCATCACACACTGTGCCCCATTTACTGAAGTACTGACGTTCAACTCGACCAGAACAGATGTCAAGGCCATTCATCAGTTGAATCTCTGTGTAACCTGGACAGAGACCTGAGAGTTTATTAAAAACTCATGAAACAAGCAAAATATACAGGTGCATCTCAAAAATTAGAATATCATGAAAAAGTTCATTTTTGTAACTTATTTCAAAAAGTCAAACTTTCATATATTCTAGATTCATTACATGTAAAGTAAAACATTTAAAAAGTTTTGATGATTAGAGCTTACAGCTCATGAAAGTCAAAAATCCAGTATCTCAAAATATTAGAATATTTCCTAAGATCAATTAAAAAAAAGGATTTGCAAAACAGAAAAGCTCAAGTTCTTTAAAGTATGTTAATTTATGCACTCAATACTTGGCCGGGGCTCCTTTAGCACAAACTCCAGCATCAGTAAGGTGTGGCATGAAGCGATCAGCCTGTGGCACTGCTGGGACACTATTGAAGCACAGGTTTCTTTAATAGCGGCCTTCAGCTCGTCTGTATTGTTGGATCGACTGTTTCTCATCTTTCCCTTGAAAATATCCCATATATTTCATATGGGGTTCAGGTCAGGCATGTTGGCTGGCCAATCAAGCACAGTAATATCATGGTCAGCAAACCACTTAGAAGTGGTTTAGGCACTGTGGGCAGGTGTGAAGTCCTGCTGGAAAAGGAAATCAGCATCTCCATAAAGCTTGTCAGCAGATGAAAGCATAAAGTGCTCCAAAATCTCCTGGTAGACGGCTGCATTGATTTTGTTTTAATTTTGATGATTAGAGCTTACAGCTCATGAAAGTCAAAAGTCCAGTATCTCAAAATATTAGAATATTTCCTAATATTCTATCAAAAATTTGTGATTCTCATCAATCAAAAAAAGAATTTGCAAAACAGAAAAGCTCAAGTTCTTTAAAGTATGTTAATTTATGCACTCAATACTTGGCCGGGGCTCCTTTAGCACAAACTCCAGCATCAGTAAGGTGTGGCATGAAGCGATCAGCCTGTGGCACTGCTGGGACACTATTGAAGCACAGGTTTCTTTAATAGCGGCCTTCAGCTCGTCTGTATTGTTGGATCGACTGTTTCTCATCTTTCCCTTGAAAATATCCCATATATTTCATATGGGGTTCAGGTCAGGCATGTTGGCTGGCCAATCAAGCACAGTAATATCATGGTCAGCAAACCACTTAGAAGTGGTTTAGGCACTGTGGGCAGGTGTGAAGTCCTGCTGGAAAAGGAAATCAGCATCTCCATAAAGCTTGTCAGCAGATGAAAGCATAAAGTGCTCCAAAATCTCCTGGTAGACGGCTGCATTGATTTTGGCCTTGAACCAACACCAGCAGACGTCACGGCACCCCAAATCATCACTGACTTCAGAAACTTCACACTGGACTTCAAGCAGCTTGGATTCTGTGCCTCTCCAGTCTTCCTCCAGACCTTGATTTCCAAATGAAATGCAAAATTTACTTTTATCTGAAAAGAGGACTTTGGATCACTGAGCAACAGTCCGGTTCTTTTTCTCATTAGCCCAGGTAAGATGCTTCTGACGTTTTTTCTGTTTCAGAAGTGGCTTGGTAGCCCTTTTCCTGAAGACGTCTGAGCCTGGGGACTCTTGATGCACTGACTCCAGCTTCAGTCCACTCCTTGTGAAGCTCTCCCAAGTGTTTGAATCGGCTTTGCTTGACAGTATTCTCAAGCTTGCGGTCATCCCTGTTGCTTGTGCACTTTTTCCTACCCATTTTCTTCCTTCCAGTCGACTTTGCATTTAATATGCTTTGATACAGCTCTCTGTGAACAGCCACCCCTTTCAGTAATGCCGTTCTGTGTCCTACCCTCAGTGTGGAGGATGTCAATGATCGTCTTCTGGACCATTTCCAAGTCAGCAGTCTTCCCCATTTTTGTGGTTTCAAAGAACAAGAAATACCCAGAATTTATACTGTAGGGATGGTTATTTAATTAAACTCAAATGTAAATATTCAAATATTTTGATACTGGATTTTTGACTTTCATGAGCTGTAAGCTTTAATTATCAAAATAAAAAAATTAAAATTAAAAAACCGTTTGAAATATTTTACTTTACATGTAATGAATCTAGAATATATGAAAGTTTCACTTTTTGAAATGTTACAGAAAAAAATTAACTTTTTCACGATATTCTATTTTTTTTAGATGCACCTATATATATATTTTTATTTGTTTGTGATTATCTTAAGTTGAAACTGCTCAATACTGCTGCATTACCAGAACATAACAGTCCTATGTCATTCTCACGGGTACAGTTGTGTTTAAGAGAAGATGATGTTGGACAGACAGATATATAAGACTCTTTGCCTGTACACTGAATATCTTGTGTCCACATCTGAGTGTCTCCTCTGCCAAAAGCAGCTGCTCCCAGCACCTGTACAGGAGCCCCACAGTCCAGCTCTCTACACACAACCTCTGCATCCTGCTGGTCAAAGGCAGCATCACACACTGAAACCCATGTCTGATCATGAGGCACCTCTACTCTGCCAGAACAGCGAGAACCTCCAACCAGCCTGACTCCTTTAAGAAAAGAGAGATCTTATTGTGTTCAAATCTGCTCATTCTTTTCATAATATGACATAAATATTAAGCCACAATAGGCCATTATAACTGAAAAATTTATAATAGCTTAATAGTTACTGTCATGAACATTCTATTATTTTCATTTAATGGATAACAGAAAAAACATTTTGTGGACAAAAAGCACCCAGCATGTCATTAACATTTATCCACAAAATGCTTGATCTTTGAATTAATTATGTATTTCATTAATAAAAGTTTTGTCTGGATCACAAAATGCATTTTGCCTACAAAATTTTGTACATTCAATCTTGTGAATCATATAAATACATCACTTCACAGCTAGGCAGGTAACCAGTCAGCCACCTGACGTAACAGTAAAAAAAGGGGTGAAACAAAGCTTAAAGAGACAACATTTTTATTTATTCTGGAGTTTGTGGGAGAGAAGATGTTCAGTAATTATGACACAATTCTAGATGAGCTTACCAGAGCAGATGACTCCAGCATCTTTAGTATGATTATCCTTTATTCCCCATGCAATAAATCCACAGTTCATCAGTGTAGATTCTGATCCAATACATCGTGCACCAGTAATCCAGATCTCTCCTGTTCCTTCTCCAAAGTAAGCACTCTTTGGTGCACTTACAGCTTCGCCGCAGCCCAGCTCTTTACACACCACTGCAGCATCTAGCAAATCCCAGTCATCACTACACACTGTTCCCCACTGACCATCATGAAGAACCTCCACTCTACCAGCACAGTTACTGTTACCACCTATTAATCTCACTGTTTCTGAAAGAGAACATGCAAAACAAAAAAAAAGAGAAAGAAGAAAAATACATTTATTACAATATTACAGAATGATTTACTCTTAGTTCATATGTCATTCACCTACCAGCACATACAATGCTCACATCATTGTCATGGGAACAAATGTTGTGTAAAGGTGACACTGGACAGAGAGCAAACTGATGCTCATTTCCTCTGCACTGAATCTCTTGTGTCCACATCTGAGCGTCACCTTTGTCAAAAGCAGCTGCTCCCAGCACCTGTAAAGGAGCCCCACAGTTAATCTCTCTACACACAACCTCTGCATCCTGCTGGTCAAAGGCAGCGTCACACACTGTGTGCCATGTGTTCCCATGAGGCACCTCTAACCTCCCAGAGCAGTGAGAACCTCCAACCAGCCTGATTCCTAATCATACAGGAGTGATTAAGAGAACTTAAATAATTTAAATGGTATGGATGATGACCAACACTGATAATTAGCCTACCTGAACAGATGACTCCAGCATCTTCATTATGCGTACAGTCAGGGTCATCTACACCTAGTCCTCTGCAGTCCAGTACTGTGGACTCTGATCCGCTGCAGTCCACATAATCCATCCATATTTTTCCTGATCCTGGCCCAAAATTAGCAAGACGTATTTCACCTAAAGTATTGCCACAGCCCAGCTCTCTACACACCACTGATGCAGCAGTTAAATCCCAATAATCATCACACACGGTTCCCCATTCTCCTTTATAATAAACCTCTAATCTACCAGCACATGAATTATTACCACCCACCAGCCTCACATTTCCTGTAGAAAAGATATAGAAAGATGCATTTAGTGAAAGTGGAATGTGAAACAGAGAAAAAATAAGAAATTTTACATGGAAAGAGGGGAGACAGGGAGGAAGAGAGAAGATCAATAAAGATTAAAATACTGTTATATTAATGCTAATATTCGATTAATTAAAAAAAATATCCTGTTAAGAATTATCAAATTTAATTACTATATAACATTAACTCACATTACGATCTTGAATGTGTACGTACCAGCTGTGGTGAGTCTGAGCACAAAAGACAGAATAATGAGTGTCAGATAGCTCTCCATTTTTACTGATCATTCACTCTGGATAAAGATTGAAAGTTTCTCACAACACCCTAAAGAGACAGAGACAGAAGGCTGCACAACTGCCAAACAACAAGCCAATCAAAGTCACTTTTACCTTATTAGAGAGAAGAGAAGGATCATCAAAGAGCCTCAGTGACAAATCAGAAGACGCATTTTTGATTGTCACCTTATTTAATAAAAGTACGTCAGTACTAAAGAACACAGCTCCTCCTCCTCCACACTTAACTATTCGAAGGGTGACAAAGTCACACGTTACAGGAAACTGATTTTAGGGACAGGAAACATTCCAGTTTATTTAGAGCATCAAAGCCCAGCACTTGCAGATATACAAATACAAGTGCTGATAACCACCTGCATCATGCTTCTCACTTTGAGTCCACATATAGAAATATTAGTTAGATACAAACATAAAGAAAATCTAATGTTTTAAAGATTGTTTTTTAATTTCTGTAAAGACATATATTCACATATATTTTATATATTTAGCAGTGTATTCATGCTCTACAAGAGCACACCATGATTACACAAAGTTTAAAAGGGCATTGTATTCAATAATTAAGATTTTTTTATTATTATAATGATTTTAAAAGAAATCTCTTGTGCTCACCAATGCTGCATTTATTTGAATTTATAGTAATTTATACTTTGTGAAATATTATTAGTTTAAAATAACTGTTCTTTTATTTGATATATTAAAAATGTGATTGCGACGCTGAATTTTCAGCAGTCATTATCTTCAGTGTCACATGATCCTTCAGAAATCCTTCTAATGCTGATTTGGTGCTCAATTATTGGCACTCATTTGGTACATATTATTGTCAATGTTGATAACCATTTTTGCTGCTTAATTTTTGAGATAGCCTATATGATCTACATGATCATTTGATGAATAGAAAGTTCAATTAACAGATTTATTTGAAATAGAAATACAGTCGTGGTCAGAATTATTGGCACCCTTGGTAAATATGATCAAAGAAGGCTGTGAAAATAAATCTGCATTGTT